ACATTTTTTGTATATATTAGAATAAGTAAATTTGAAAAAAAAGAAACAGGAAAGACTATTTTTACAAATAAAAAGATTGCATAGAAGAAGAGAAAGAAGAAAAAGCAATACATAAACCATAGAATATGCTGTTAAAAATTTGACCGTTTCCGAGAACAAATCAAATATATCCCATTTATATTGTAACAGATCGTTTGATCAGGATCGTCGATCAACAGTCCACAGTCCCGTAACGTTGCAAACAACAATTCTTCAGTCAGATAAAAACATGGAAATTTTTTACCACCAAACGAACACCACGTTTCTTCAAATACTCCACCCATCACGAACAGACCTTAAAATGAAAAAAAGAAGAAGATGGAGAAGATCGTCTGCCAGAAAGAAAAAAGTCACAACTGTCTATTGATGACAGCAAGTCTAAATACCGCTGGTTTACCTCCCGGTTTCACATGGCTCACAACGTTTTTTACCGCGTTCTGATACTCTTCTGTCGTCCTTGAACTGTATTCAATACAAAACACTGTTGAGACTACCTAAAAATTTCAAATAAACTTTTTCTGTTACCAAGAATAACATATGCTAGTTCGTTAATAGGCATTTTTTCTTTGAAACTGCATTTTTGCACTCTGTTGAACTGAAATTAACTAAACAACATTAAACTATCAGTTCAACAATTATTTTGATTCAGTTATTGGCAAACAAAGAGCCATCTTACATCAAAGTTGCATTTAAGATTTTCTGGTGCCTTAACACTATCTGCCTGGTGACAATCACAATGAAAAATGCCTTTAACCTGAAAATTGACAATTCGTAATTCTGGAAAAGTTAACAGCACCAATTATACTATTTAATAAAACTTTTAGTACCAAATTACCTTAGACCGAGTAAGACTTTCGATACTTTTTAATTCTTGCCAATCGTGACCCTCAACAGAAGCAATTTTTTTAAATGTTTCTGTCCAGTCAAATTTGCTGGTACCATTAAGCCAGTGATAAAGTTCTTGCCGATTCTGTGCAAGATAATCAGCCAAATAAATCTAAATCTGTTTATATTTTCAGTTTTGTTTTCTTATTGGGGTACTCATTAAAAAAATAATCCCATCTTCTTCAGTGTTGACTTTTTAAAGAGGAAAAGTAAAGAAAAGAAGTTTATAATAAAACAGGTTCAATTTGTAGAAAAAAATTATAACTATCACAGTATTGTATATAAAAATAAAGAATTGGAGGAAGAAATACATGACATATATCTAATGACACGTGACCATTCGGTCAAGTTTCATCAAAGTTGCATCTTTTTTGTTCAAAAAAAAAGAAAAAAATTTTTCATCAATTGTAACAAAACAATCGTTATTTAAAATTCCAAAAAAATTTTGATGTGCACCTATCGACAGTAAATATCAGCAAAAAAAAAAAAAAAAAAAGTAAGAAAAATGATTTAACTGTGCAGTCCCCGTAAACTTTTTTGCAGAAATCTTAATCTACCAGGAAGCTTAAGACTTCAAAATGATACTGTCAAATTTGTTTAATAAGTCATACATTTTTAGCTTTGTTGCGGAATATAGCTGCAACATGCACTGTTGGTCCTGCACCAAAATCTAATAAGGACTCAAATTCGTCAAGTCGTTGAACAATATTCGGCAAAAACAATACCACCATTTGCATTGCTGGATCGTCAATCCGTGTATAGAAGTCCTTTTAAATCAGGGATGTACTTTTTTTTTGTTTTCATTAATATTAGCAGTTTTTAGCCGAAAAAAAAGCAACTAAAAATGAGCGAAATTTGAGAAAAAATTTATTCGAGGAATATACGTTTATTGTTAGAAATAAATTAGTTCTGTACACATTATTTATTAAGATCAATCAAGTTATTATGCAGACTCAGCAGAAAAAAAAAGTTACCTGTAGATATGCTGCTGTGTTAAATGATTCGTGAAAATTATCTGTTATTGGAATTTCGTTGTCATTTTCTGATCGCTCCTTTGAACCGTTTGTAGACAACTCTTCTGGCATTCCTAAAAGAGATCAAAATTCATGCTAACAGTGGCTATGAAAAACTTAAACAGACAAAGCAACAGTTGAAGGATAAACGAGTCATTTCGATAAGGACGTAAGCTGCTTGATCGGTTCTGTTTGTTGATTTCAAAAACTGAAAAACGTAAGGCCTTCTCAGTGTTGTAATATCCTTATTATTTTCAACAGGAAATGAAGTTTTTCTAAGACGAAGAATACAGCAAGCAATAAATTTAATGCTATGAGTTTGATTGTTCTTTAGCATAGAAATGTTTAAGTAATGGCGACAAAAAGAAGGAGCAGTCGAGTATCTTTAAAGTTGTTTAGGGCTGTTTTTTTGTTTCGTCTTTTTTTGTACGTCTTATACATAAACCGTAATCGACCAACAAAAAAATAAAGAAGTTTTTTAAACAGCTATTTTGTCGTCGTGTTAGATGAACAGCTGAGGAAGTACCGACGGCTATTTGTCTGTCTGTTAAAAAACAGATATTTCAATGATACTGTTGAAAATTTCTAAAGAGAATAAATTGTATTTCAATGGGTTTCGATTGTCACTAATGTTCGTGTAAGAGGCGTAACTAAGCTGAAGGTGGTCATTAAGCAGTGTTAAATTAAAGTTTGCTGTTTCTTTTAAAATGTTAAAGAACCTTGTTTTTTCTTTTTAATTAACAACAAAGTAGTTTAGGTGAGCGCTTTAAGGCAGTTGACAGCTGCTCATTGTATCTGTAAATAGAATTCTAATGATGTTTACTTGATATTTTACGGTGTCGTTTTATTTCGTAGCAGACACAAATAATCTTCCTTTTAGACTTCCTTCTTTACTTGATTTTCGCTTGTGATTTGACGATTACAATTGTTGAACTTTTGACGTAAGCTAAAGTTGGTGACGAAAGTATCAGTGGGGGGGGGGGGGGGGGGGGGGGGGGGGGGGGGGGGG